CAACGCCAGCACCCCCAGAGTCCACAAACAGCGGCAGCGACGACGGCGGCGGCGGCGGCGGCGGCTGCAGCGACGGCATCGACGGCGGCGGCGGCGGAGACGACGGCTGCAGCAGCTGCGGCGACGGCGGCTGCGGAGGCGGTGGAGGAGGAGACACCGGGGGAGGGACAGACGGCGAGGACTGCGCCAAAGGACTACCAGAGTCAGAAGACTCGTCGACCGGAACGACCGACGGGAGGGGGGTGACGTGAGACACACCAGAGGGGGCCGGACGGGGGGGCGGGGGGGGGGAGGGGCAGGGGCCACCAGGGAGGGAGGAACCAGGAACAGGGGGGGAGTAACCGGGGGACCACGGTGGGGAAAGCGGCGGAAGAAGGAGACGGACTCGTCAAAGGTGACGTCGCGAGAGTGAAAGAAACGGTGAGACGGCGGGTGGTAGAAGTGCCAGTCGGACGCGTCAAGGGGGAAACCGAGGAAGACGCAGGGGAGGGTGCGGGCAGTGAGCTTGTCCGTGCCAGAGGCACGAACGTGAGCAAGGCAGCCCCAGACGTGGAACGCAGACGCGTCACCAGGGGACCCGGTCCACAGAAGGGTCGGCGAAACCTGCGGCCGCTGGGGGTGCGGCCACAGGTTAAGCTGGTGAGCGGCGTAGCGCACGGCGAACGGCCACAGAAAATGGGGTGCACCGGCGTGGATCATGGAGGTGCGAGCCACCTCCATGACCAAACCGATGCGTCGCTCAGCGACCCCATTCTGCTGCGGGGAGTCCGGCAGGGTAAACGTCTGGGTGATGCCCTCCGCACGACAGAAGCGACCAAGGACACCTGAGGCAAACTCGCCACCCCGGTCGGAGTGAAGGCGCAAGGCAGGGAGACCGCGGTGGACACGAGCAGAGACAAGCCAGGGGATGAGAAGGTCAGGCACGTCGGCCTTCCGCTCCAGGGGGAAGACGGTGGTGTAGCGCGTGAAGTCGTCGACAAGCACTAGGAAGAAGCGCTCGCGACGCGGCCCATGGACCGGGGCTGGGCCCCAGACGTCCATGTGCAGAGTCTGCAGTGGTGCGGTGGTAGGGGGAAAAGAGGAGGAGTGAGGGGCACGGCGGAGCCGGCCCTCGACACAAGGCGTGCACGGTGGGGCGGGGGAGGAGGGAAACTCGGGGAACGAACCGGGGAGACCAAGGACGAGACCGTGCTGGGACATGTGACGCAGACGCGGGAGCGCAGGGTGACCTAGGCGGTGGTGCCAAAGGAGAGTCGGGTGAGTGAGGGACCGACAGGAGCAGGCAGCAGCAACCTGGGTAGACGCAGCCACCTGAGGGAGCGCTCCAGCCGGGGGGGTCACGGTGTCCAGAGTGAACAGGCCGGACACTGGGTCCCGGGGGAACGTGGACAGGGGGGCACCAGTGGCGGCCTCGGTACAGACAGCATACCGCTCGTGACCAGGGAACGTAGTGGTGACGCCAAGGTCCTGGAGGCAGCCGACACCAACTAGGTTCCTGGAGAACGAGGGGATATGCAGACCTGTGAGAGTGCCCGAAGGAACCGCCGGACAGGGAAGGGAGGTGGAACTGCGGGCAACGACGGGACCACCGGAGGGGTCAGCAAGAGTAACTGCAGCGGGAACAGGCAGCGGCGTCAGCGTCGTGGAGTCGCGGAAGAAACACCGGGAGGCGCCAGAGTCCAAGGTGAAGGAAAGCGCAGTAGTCGCGCGAGGCAGCAGTGAAGCGGTGGAAGCACCAAGGCTAAGCAAAGCAGGAGATCCTACGCCTGACGCAGCAGGGGAGTCTACGCTAGGCACCGCTACACTAGGCAACACGGGGTAATAAGAGGGAAGCACACTAGAGTCATCAGCATACATCACATGCAAGGCCGCTACAATGGCATCCATGTCCAAGTCAAAAATCCTAATGCTACGCCTAAGCAAGCTGTGCCAGTCCGGGAGGTCGGGCGCCGGGCCAAAGCGCTGGCGGAACAGGTCGTCCAGGCGACGAAAACAGCGAGGAGTAGAATGACCGATCTTACCGCAAACGAAGCCGCGGCGAGGACCGGTCTGGATCTGGTACTGACAGGGCCCGCCTCCAGAACCACCACCCGGTGCACCACCACGCGCACGACCACCACCAGCTCCAGGCCACCCAGGTGGGAGAGTACTCGCCTGCCTCGTCTGCGGCGGCTGCTGCGGCTGCTGCGAAGGCTGCGGCTGCGGCGACTGCTGCTGCTGCGGCTGCTGCAACTGTGGAGGCAGCGGGGCAGCTGGACCGGGCAGGGTCCCCACGTCCGCACCGGCACCGGACGACCCGCCTCCACCACTACCCCCACCCGCACCCCCGCCGCCTCCGCCGCTCCCAACCTTGGGGCGGCGGCCCTTCGCCGAGCGGGACTGCACTGCAGCAGCAGTCTCAGCCACAGCGACAGAGCCGTCGGAGAAGGTACACTGAGCGGGGGCACAACCCTGAAAGATAGGGACCGGTACTGTACCGCTCGCCAGGGCTATGGAGCGGTGACGAGTCTCTATGGCAGTCAGGGTGTCAACAAAGTCGGTGAGGGTGAGAGCAGCAGGGTGGATGCTAAGGAACTGGTCGCGGGCGGCGGCAAGGCGGTCAGGTAGGCGGGTGGCAAGGAGGTAGAGGGTAGAGGTCATGGGAGGCTGGTGGACTCTAAGCTGAGCATCAGTGCAGGCAGCGCGCCAGGCCTCATCTATCGAGCGCAGGTGGGCAGCGAGGTCAGAGACAGTGGGGAAAGACGTCAGGTCAGGAAAGAGCAGGGGAAGGATCAGGCGACCCACTGAGGCAGCAGGAGGGGTAGAATAGCGCTTGATGACAGCATCGAGGTAGGCCTGGGCGGTAGGAATGGTTCTAAAGCGAGGGCGCTCAGTGGGGGGGAGGGCATTGCTAATGGCGAGCTGAGCAAGGGCATCGCGGGAAAGCCAGACAGAGCGGGCAAGGGCAGCAGCGGCAGTGGACTCGCGCTCAGCGGGCGTGGGATCAGCGGGCAGCACAGCAGGGGGGTCAGGGCAGGGGAGCATACCGTCTAGGTGTGCAGAAAGCGGGTGGCCGTCCTGCCGCTGGCCAGTGAGGTGGCGGCGAAGGTCAGCCAACCACGCCTCGAACTCCAGAGGCTGACCCTCAACATCAAAACGAAGCTCAGCAGCCATGAGGGGCAGTGGAGGACAGTGCAGTGCGGTGCAGTGCGATGCAGAGCGGTGCAGTGCGGTCCAGTGCGGTGCAGGGAGGTGCAATGCGATGCAAGGCGGGGCAGGAAAGTGCAGGAGGGTGCAAAGTGGTGCGGGGAACGGGGGACAGTACCAGGAAGTATGGAGGGCCGGGGCAGGTGCGTCGGGGCCGGGCAGGCACGACAAGGCCGGGCGGCGGCGACGGGGCCGGGCGGATGCGACGGGGCCGGGCGGCGGCGACGGGGCCGGGCGGCAGCGACAAGGCCGGGCGGCTGCGACGTGGCCGGGCGGCTGCGACGGGGCCGGGCGGCTGCGACGGGGCCGGGCGGCAGGGACGAGGCCGGGCCGGACACAGCAGGGCCGGGCAGGGGCGACGGGGCCGGGCGGCTGCGACGTGGCCGGGCGGCTGCGACGTGGCCGGGCGGCTGCGACGGGGCCGGGCGGCTGCGACGGGGCCGGGCGGCAGGGACGGGGCCCGGGCAGGCCACAGCAGGGCCGGGCAGGGGCGACGGGGCCGGGCGGGCGAGCAGGGGCCGGGCAGGTGCGACAGGGGCCGGGCAGCCGCGACAGGGGCCGGGCGGGCGCCACGCGGCCGATAGGCCGCGACGGGGCCGAGCAGGGGCGACGGGGCCGAGCAGGGGCGACGGGGCCGAGCAGGGGCGACGGGGATGGGTAGGGGCGCGACGGGGCCTGGAGGGGCGTTACCAAGTCCAGGTAGGGGCGCGACGGGGCCTGGGGGGAGCGCAATGGGTCCCAGGAGGGGCGCTACGGGGCCTGGGAGGAGCGCGACTGGGCTAGGGAGGGGCGCGACGGGGCCTGGGAGGAGCGCAATGGGGCCCAGGAGGGGCGCTACGGGGCCTGGGAGGAGCGCGACGGGGCCCTGGAGGGGCGCTACCAGGCCCTGGAAGGGGCGCGACGGGGCCTGGAGGGGCGCTACGAAGCCCTGAAAGGGGCGCGACGGGGCCTGGAGGGGCGCTACGAAGCCCGGGAAGGGGCGCGACGGGGCCTGGGAGGAGCGCAAAGGGGCCCAGGAGGGGCGCTACGGGGCCTGGGAGGAGCGCGACTGGGCTAGGGAGGGGCGCGACGGGGCCTGGGAGGAGCGCAATGGGGCCCAGGAGGGGCGCTACGGGGCCTGGGAGGAGCGCGACGGGGCCCTGGAGGGGCGCTACCAGGCCCTGGAAGGGGCGCGACGGGGCCTGGAGGGGCGCTACGAAGCCCTGAAAGGGGCGCGACGGGGCCTGGAGGGGCGCTACAAGGCCTGGGAGGAGCGCGACGGGGCCCAGAAAGGGGCGCAACGGGGCCCAGGAAGGGGCGCGACGGGGCTAGGGAGGGTCGCGACGGGGCTAGGGAGGGTCGCGACGGGGCTAGGAGCACGACGGGGCCCAGCTAGGGGGCGAGTGGAAGCGTGAGGGGGGGGGGGGGGGGATCCTACCTACGCGTGATACCATATCAAACAGTGAAATTGATCAATAGAGAGAGAGAGTACACAAACATATACCTAACTGTTGTACTCTCTAGAAGATGACCCTATACAGTCTATACAAGCATGATAACTAAACATGTTTGACATCAACTGCCTCAACTTCCGCTGCACTACTCAAGTCTCACTCTACAACTGGGACTTAATCTCTGGAAAGATCCTAAGGGCTTTTTCTCAGCCCAACACAAGAGAATACAGGGCCGTGGGCTCATGGACTTGTAGTTAGTTGGTTGCTCCTATCTACGGTTGTGCTGCATGCTGACCTCCTTCTCTGTTTTGATTGGTGTTCGTGTTTCCTTGGAGCTCAAGCATCTCATTACCCGGGATGGCCAACCCACTTCATGCAATGTTGTCTCTCAACAATGTAATTACACACAGACATCTGAATAGTACACTTATCACACATTGTTATCATAACTCTCACTTACTATCTCCCTTTTCCCGGGTTCAGGCAGCAGTAGCAGGCACAGCACACCTGTAACCATCCCCTGTAACCCGAAAATCAGCAGGGGGTAACTGGGGGAGGTTCGACCGAGGAGCACTATATGGGGTACAAGCACTGTAGCGAGCTGGCCTGCCTGTGTGACTATAGCGAGGGACAGGTGGCGGATGGAGGTGGGGAAGAGCTCTACTTGAAGCACGTATGCCGAGGAGAAAGAGGACGTGATACAAAAGAGGGCGAGGAGAGAGCAGAGAGGAGGGATGAAGGGGAGGAGGGAGTGTGACTGTACATGTGTGTGTGACGGTGTATGTGGTTGTGACAGTACATGGGGTTGTGACTGTACATGTGATTGTGACTGTACATGTGATTGTGACTGTACATGTGATTGTGACTGTATGTGTGGTTGTGACTGTACATGCGTGTGTGACTGTATGTGTGGCAGCAACAGTAACCGCCCATGCATGCGCTCGGTACTGCTTCCCACACTCCTTTGATTACTGCTCCTACTCGCACTCGCACTCCTCCTCCCCCTCCCACTCCTGCTCCCTCTCCTTCCAATCCCTTCCACCACCCCCTGCACCAGCATCACCCTGCTGCATCCTCTGCTGCTCTCATTGCTGCTCCCACCGTTGCTACCACGCCCTCCCCCCCTCCCCTGCACCATCAGCATCACCCCTCGTTCTCCCCTCTGCGGTAATGCCCCCCCTCCCTCTCCCCCCTGCACCCGAATCACACTGTTGCTCCCCCTGTTGCTCCCAATGTTGCTCCCAATGTTGCTCCCAATGTTGCTCCCAATGTTGCTCCCAATGTTGCTCCCAATGTTGCTCCCAATGTTGCTCCCAATGTTGCTCCCAATGTTGCTCCCAATGTTGCTCCCAATGTTGCTTCCAATGTTGCTCCCAATGTTGCTACCACCCTCTCCTCCTCGCCCCTGCACCAGCAGCACCACCCCTCCTAAAACGCAAAACGAGCTGCCAAGTATGAGGGATAAGCCCACAAGCCGCCGGCACCCCAAGCGGTTAATGAGGAAGCCTGAAAGGAGGATGGAGGGGACCTGAATTAGGGCCACCAGGTAGGTTGCTGCAGCAATACTGCTGATAGGGCTGCTGGTGCTCTTGTTTGTTGGGCTGTTGCTGCTCTTGTTGCTGCTGTTGACAACTCTCCTTCTGACATAGAGAAAAGTAGGGGGCTTGGGCGCTGATTTGCTGCTCTGTCTACCTAGTGATATTGTCTCAGCCAGAGCAGTGGCCAGGTTAGCGGTATTAAGAGTGAGGCCGTTGTAGAGGGAAGAGGAGGTGAGGAAGAGGAGGATCATGAGAGATAGGCGGTGCAGGTGAGTCTTGGACGAGAGCAGCTCCCCCACCCCCCCCTTTGATGTGCCTTGATTGCCCGCTGTACCTCCATTAGTTAAGCGTTCACCAGCCGCATCCCCACCAGCTGCACCCCCACCAGCTGCACCCTCACCAGCCGCACCCCCACCAGCCGCACCCCCACCAGCCGCACCCCCACCAGCTGCACCCCCAACAGCCGCACCCCCACCAGCCACGATAGATAGGCGGTGTAGGTGATTCCTTGACGAGAGCAGCTCCCCCACCCCCCCCGTCGATGTGCCTTGATTGACACCTTCATCCCTACCAGCCGTACCCCCACTGTTTCCAACACCAAAACCTCTACTGGTTGAACCTCCACTAGTTGAACCTCCACCATCCATTCCCCCACAGCCCAAACCTCCCTTGCTTTCCACTTCACCTCCCCCACTCGTACCCATCTCTGCTCCTGCTCCCAACCCCTCCCCATCCTCCATTATCTCTTGCACCCCTCGGCTCACCACTGCCCTGCTTTCACCTGCCCGAAGACCCACATAATTTTCAGCTGCCTGGAGATCGGTACATTTCTCAACTTCCCAGGGATCAGTATAACTTTCACCAGCCCTGAGATAAGAAGAATACTGTTCAACTGCCCGAAGATCAGTAACCAGCACCACCCCTGTAGGTATCACATGGCCATTCCCCTCTGCCAAACACTGCAACACCTGCAGTGCTCTCGCACCCCTTCCCCTCTCGAGCAACCACCGCGGTGACTCACACACCCATGCCACAGCCTGTGCCTCCGCTTGTGCCATTGGTACCGCCTTCAACCATACTATGGCCCCTTCAAAACCCAGTGATCTCCCTTCTGTCCTGGTGTCCCAACGCCCCCCCAAGTTTAAAGGGCGATCACCTCTCCCACCCATGCTGGATTCATGGGTACCATATTTGAGGCGCCTCAAAAATAGACTCCCCATGCTTGATCCATGGGTACTTGTCCCCCCGCCGTTCCGTAAACGACTCCTAGGTGCTTCGGCAGGAGGGTCGGCAGCAGTTATCGGATCCCCTACCTCAACTGAGGGTCTAAGGAATGAAGCCACGTGGCGGGAGATGATTGGCAGGATGGTGATCAGCAGAGGGGGGAGGAGGAGGAGGGCGCAGTACATGCCGCCGATTGCTGCTCCTGCAAGGAAATACAGGCGGCGCCAAGATGGTGCAGGAGGCACAGGAGTAGCGGCAACAACAGCAGCTGGTGATTCAGAATCAGAAGGAACACCGAAAGCAGAAGCAGTGACAGCAGCAGCAGGGGCGTTTCGTAGAAGCCGTGTCTGAAAACACCCAGTTGCGAAACCAGTGGCAGATTCAGACGCAGCAGCAACAGCAGCAGTGACGGCCGACCGAGGGGAGGCAGACGCAGTGGTAGGGGCTGATGCAGTGGCAAAAGCAGCAAGAACAGGCAGGAGCATCTGCTTTTGAGTCGAGTCAGAAGTGGAATGAGGAGACTCAGACGCAGTAGTAGGAGCTGATGCAGAGGCAAAAGCAGCAAGTACAGGCAGGAGCATCTGCCCCAGCGGATACGCCAGGTTCACTAGCATAGAAACCGGACCTCGGTGCTTCGGCCCTATGACTTCAGACGCCAACACGTAGCATGTGTTGCCAAGACCAGATGAGGCGATGCCGGTGAGGAGGCGGAGGAGGGCGTAGGAGAGAGGGGAGGAGGCGAGGGAGGTGAGGGATGTGAGGAGGGAGGAGAGGAGGGCGGAGAGGAGGAGCGTGCGCTTGCGGCCTAGAGGTCCGTCTGAGAGGAAGGCGAAGAAACATGAACCTGGGTGGAGAGCGAGGAAGGAGGGGGAGAAGGGAGGGGGAGAAGGGAGGGGGAGAAGGGAGGGGGAGAAGGGAGGGGGAGAAGAGAGGGGGAGAAGGGAGGGGGAGAAGGGAGGGGGAGAAGGGAGGGGGAGAAGGGAGGGGGAGAAGGGAGGGGGAGAAGGGAGGGGGAGAAGGGAGGGGGAGAAGGGAGGGGGAGAAGGGAGGGGAGAAGGGAGGGGGAGAAGGGAGGGGGAGAAGGGAGGGGGAGAAGGGAGGGGGAGAAGGGAGGGGGAGAAGGGAGGGGGAGAAGAGAGGGAAGAGAACAGGTGATGGCAAAGATAAAATAGCAGGCGTTGCCGAGGCCAGATGAGGCAATTCCGGTAAAGAGGTGGAGGAGAGAGGGGAGGAGGGGAGGGAGGTGAGGAGGGCGGAGAGGAGGAGCGTGCGCTTGCGGCCCAATGGACCGTCGGACAGGAAGCGAAGAAGCAGGAACCTGTGATCGGCAGGACGGGGAGGAAGGTGACTTTGCAGGGTGTTTTTTTTAGAGTTTTCAAAAACACCCTGCAAAATCAAGGACTTTGCAGGGTGTTTTTGAGATGCATTTTGAGTCGACTCAAAAGGAACCTGCGATGGGCAGGGCAGGGCAGGTAGGAAGGGATGGGAGCATGTCAGGTCAGGGCAATGAGGAGAGTGCGCCAGCGCTTGCGACCTCGGAAGTAGCCCGAGTCTATCCACCCCCCAGCAGCTTTTGAGTCGACTCAAAAGCAGAGTGCGCCAGCGCTTGCGACCTCGGAAGTAGCCCGAGTCTATCCACCCCCCAGCAGCTTTTGAGTCGACTCAAAAGCAGAGTGCGCCAGCGCTTGCGACCTCGGAAGTAGCCCGAGTCTATCCACCCCCCAGCAGCTTTTGAGTCGACTCAAAAGCAGAGTGCGCCTGCGCTTGCGACCTCGGAAGTAGCCCGAGTCTATCCACCCCCCAGCAGCTTTTGAGTCGACTCAAAAGCAGAGTGCGCCTGCGCTTGCGACCTCGGAAGTAGCCCGAGTCTATCCACAGATCCGAAGTGCGCCTCTGAAGTGCGCCTGCCTGCCGCAGATCCGACCCCCCATCAGATACCTACCACCCAGACACCTGCTGGTAGCAGGGGTACTGATTCCACGCTTAGCACACACAAGACACCACCCCAGCTGCCCTACCCACTCACCAGCGCAGCGCAGTACCCAAGTCGATCCACCCTCGCAGCGACTGCCTGTTACAGATCAGACCCCACTCAGACACCACTCAGACACCACTCAGACACCACTCAGACCCCACTCAGACCCCACTCAGACACCACTCAGATACCACCGAGACATACGGAGATGCACCGCAGGTACCAATACACACGACAGAACCCACCAGCGCAGTAGCTGATGAAGTAGAGGCAGTCGATCCACCCGAGCAGCGACTGCCTGCTGCAGATAAGGCCCCACTCAGATACCACCCAGACACCTGTTGGTTACAGGGGTACTGATTCCACGCATAGCACACACAAGACACCACCCCAGCAACCATATCCACTCACCAGTGCAGTAGCCCATGAAGTAGAGAGAGTCGATCCACCCTAGCAGAGTCTGCCTGCCGCAGATGAGGCCCCATTCAGATACCACCGAGACGCTGGTAGGCTCTGACCACTGCCACGTGGCGTTCGCCTGTTCGCCAGCCTGCTGCTGCCACATGGCACGCTGCTCGTCTGCCACCTGGCAGAGAGACTTTCCGAAGCAGGAGGCAGCGGTGCAGTGCCAGGCTGGCATACGCTCTGATTGGTAGAGAGATGGCAAGGGGGAGGCGGAGGGGGAGAGCAGGGGGGGGGGAGGGGGGGAGGGGAGAGGGGGAGGCATGGGGGGAAACAAGGGATTCAAAGGAAGGGGGATGCACGGTCATTCGCTTTCTCTTCCGGCTCTTAGTGATGGGAGAGAGGCGGGGCAGAGCAAGGGGAATGGCGCAGCAGGTGACCCATTCATGCGAAAAGAAGCAGGTGAAACGAGCCTTCAACGACCATGCATGCACATGCGAGCAGCACGGCATGTGACGTGCGAGCAGCACGGCATGTGACGTGCGAGCAGCACGGCATGTGACATGCGACCAGCACGGCATGTGACGTGCGACCAGCACGGCATGTGCCAACCATGATTGAATCATACTCTCGCACGTGCGAAGATGATGATGAATGTGAAAAGCACTTCCAGCGACCATGCGCACGCCACCAGCGCGGCATGCCGCATCTGACACGGACCCAGCTCGCTCACTGCAGCTCTAACCGTGGTCTACCAATGAGCAAGGGGCAAGCGTGACGGATGCTCGCACCAGTGAAGATGATTATGAAGGTGAACAGTGCTTCCAGCGACCATGCACATGCGACCAGCACAGCATGCCGCACCTGACACGGACCCAACTCTCCCACACGCTGCATTAATCACGATCTACCTATGAGCCATGCGTGAGGAGTCTATTTTTGAGGCGCCTAAAAAATAGACTGCATTAATCACGATCTACATATGAGCATGGGACAAGCCCCATAGCATGCTCGTACCTGTGAAGATGATTATGAAGGTGAACAGCGCTTCCAACGACCATGCGCACGCCACCAGCGCGGCATGCCGCACCTGACACGGACCCAACTCTCCCACGTATTTCTGCAACACGCCATCCACCGTTAGTATCTCCTCCGTTACTATCTCCTCTGTCGCCTCCCTTTGATGCTCCTCTGTTGGTATCTCTTCCGCTAATAATCCCCTCGACATTTCCTCCGATAGTGTCACTTCTGCATCTGAAAGGAAACGATTTGCTTGACTCCCGATACTGTCACGCAGACGGATCGCTCCTGACGTGCTACTTTCTGTCACACCCGATATAGTCATCTTTCCCCGTGTCTCCGGCTCCCACGTCTCCCTCCCAGATTCGATCCCCTCTCCCCCTCCTTTTTCCGGTCCAGCCCTCGCCCTCCTCCGTTACCATAGAAACCTAAGGCCGTAGCCTCGGAAACCTCGGAAACCTAAGAAACGCACGACGCGGCGAGATCGGTGGGTCTACATAATGTCGTGCGGAGACGGAGAAAGGTAGGCATTTGGACACCGAATGAGGTGAACCCTTCCATGTTTCTCGAATGGCTAGAAGTAGGGATCAGCGCTAGTCGATTCTCTCGCCAGTGCGGAATCGTCACACGTACGAATCTGGCCTAGCTACCTCCGCCACATTGGAGAAACCAGCCGAGCCGACTAACTGTCTGTTGAAATGGCTGAGCCTATATTCCCAATGCGGGCAACCTCGGATCAGTATCAGCGGGATTTCCATTTGACTCACATGGGGTGATTCGCTATATCAACCTCCAGGCCGATGAGATTTTGGTTATATATTCCAAGTTCTTTTCCATGCTTCACATCCCCTTTCAGGCTTCATTTGGTAGGGGCCGCGCGAACGCGAGCCCCCTCTGCCACAAATTATGACGTGCATCACCGGGAGTTCCGGCGTGCTAGGGACAGGGCCGGCCGAAGTGCAATGGCGGGCCCGCCCCTAGGCCATCGGCCTTCATGATCACCGATTGACCCCGCCCAGGTAAGTATGCCATCCAAATGTCGATCTTCGGTTTATGAGACAAGGAAATGAGTTTGATAGATTCTACTCTGTGGGTACAAATGCCACGTGTTTTTCCGACGGTGCTGGATTGGGTTTCGCCTGTCAGTGCTGTGCGAGTGCCCGAAGATTTTACAGGGGACGCAGGTTCGACTCCCCACAGCTTTGTTAGTCCCCGCACACAACTTTGCACTGAAATTTGGTTCGGAGTTCCCAAAGCCTGTCCACTCATTTCCATTCCATGCTTGCGTCAATTTCGACACCAATGCATTTCTCGCGGGTCCTACTATCGCGGACAAATCTCCTAAGAATCTCTGTTGCGACGACTAGCTTTACAACCGAGGCATCCAGCATAATCGGCAGCTGTAGCTTCTCCCAAACCCTAGCTAGAAACGGCTACCCGAAAAGGACCCATCAGCAGCAGCAGCTTTCGTCAGCATTCTTCTTTCCTACTCCTCCGCTTCCCCCCTTCGCACAGCAAGCGCGTCGCGATTTCAGCTTCTCGGCTGCATCGCCGACAGTGTTGAGAATGGCGGAATCGACGGCAGCAGCGGGAATTCCGGAAACGTCGGCGGCGGGGCCGGCAGATGCTCGCGAAGGGAGAACCACGATTGGTCCTGCAGATGCGTCGTCAGCCGTGGATTTCCTGATGATGATCCAGCCGCTTAAGGTTAGATCCGCCGAATCGGCGCATGCTGAATTTCTTCAAAGTGTCGCTTCCGCAATGAGCGGTCCCCATTGAATCGAATGGGGAGACCTGACCGTTGCGTGCCCGTATCCCTCCTCTCTAATATCCCCACTCCCAAGTTAATAGGCGATCACATGCGCCAAATGGCGGTGATGGCGTTCGTGTTGACTCAAACGGAATACCCTTTTCCTGCCTCTCCCCCACCTCCCTCCCCTCAAATCAGACGCTAAAGCGGACTGGCTGGGTGAAGGGGGGGGGTTGATTTGTTTCTTAGAGTTCTCAAAATCGGAATGCCCTTTCCCTGCCTCTCCACCACCTGCCTCTCCACCACCTGCCTCTCCACCACCTGCCTCTCCACCACCTGCATCTCCACCACCTGCCTCTCCCCCACCTCCCTCCCCTCAAATTCAGACACTAAAACGGACTGGATGGGTGAAGCGGGGGATAAAACGGGCCCGAGTCTACAGGCGACCACATGCACCGGATGGCGATGATGGCATTTGTGCTCACTCAAACAGGACCTCTTTTCCCTCCCCCACCCATCCCCTCCCCCCCCTCCCCCTCCCCCCCATCCCCCCCCTACTTTTCCTCTTCAGACGTTGAAGCGCACAGGATGGGTGAAGAGAGGAGTGCAGGGGCCGGAGTCTATAGGCGACCACATGCACCGGATGGCGATGATGGCGTTTGTGCTGGCAGACGTGAGGGGAATCGACAGAGAGAGGTGAGTGGACGAGGGTTTGGGGGTTGGCGAATGGACTGGATGGCATGGCGACGATGGCGTTTGTGCTGGCTGATGTCAAAGGCATCGACAGGGAGAGGTGAGCTGGGGGGGGCGGGGTGGGGGGTTGAGGACGGATGGAAAGGGGGTGGCAGGGGGGTGGCAGGGGGGTGGTAGGGGTGTGGCAGGGGGGTGGCAGGGGGTGTGGCAGGGGGTGTGGTAGGGGTATGAGATGATAAGGCTGATCACATGCACCGGATGGCGATGGCGGAGTTCGTGCTGCCTGATGTCAAAGGCTTCGACAGGGAGACGTGAGTGAGGGTTGGTTGGTGAGTGGGAGCGGGATGGAAGGGGATGAGCAGGGGAATGAAAAGGAGTGGCTGAGAGGGGTGGGTGAGAGGGGTGGGTGAGAGGGGTGGGTGAGGGGTGGGTGAGAGGGGTGGGTGAGAGGGGTGGGTGAGAGGGGTGGTGAGAGGGGTGGTGAGAGGGGTGGTGAGAGTAGGGATGGGAGGGGATGGAAGTGGAGGGTAGGTGGGGGTGCATCGGAAACCCCCTTGCATCGTGGTGTGTGGTATATGGTATGTGGTCTGTGGTATATGGTATGTGGTATGTGGTATGTGGTATGGTATGTGGTATGTGATATGTGGTATGTGGTATGTGGTATGGTATGTGGTATGTGGTATGTGGTATGGCATGCCCGTCTGATGGCCCTGTGCATCGGCGAGGCCATGCTTTGTGGGATGTGTGGGATGTGTGGGATGCCTTTAAGGCATGTGGTATGTGCGGTATGTGGTGTGTGTGGTATGCCCTTAAGGTATGTGGAATGTGTGGTATGCCCTTAAGGGATGTGGTATGTGTGGTATGCCCTTAAGGTATGTGGTATGTGTGGTATGCCCTTAAGGTACGTGGTATGTGTGGTATGTCCTTAAAGCGAGGATCCCAAGAAACGCGAAACCGAATCCAAAAGGTTTGGTTTTGGGTTGACGAAACCAGGGAAACAGTAACAGCGGCTCCCCAACACCCCTCACCACACCTCACAATTTTCGCAACCCCCCGAAACCAAAACCTTTGGGTTTGGTTTTTTGCTCTTTGAGATCCTCGCTTTAAGGTATGTTGTATGTGGATGTTGTATGCCTTACTTATGTCTCATACGACTCCGATGACTGTTTGTATTGCCTGAAAAGATAACGATAACCATCATGCATGAATGACGTTTCTGGCCATTTTCTTGTACAATAACCATCATGGCCTCATGGGCTAGATTCAGTGATTCTCATGGCGGTTCATTGGCTGACATGTGGCATGTGGCATGTGGCATGTGGCATGTGGCATGTGCATGTGGCATGTGTCATGTGGCATGTGGCATATGCATGTGGGATGTGGATGTGCATGTGGTATCTGCATGTGTGCATACCATATGCACAGATGCGTCAAGATGGCAATCGTGCATGACGTGGCAGAAGGTACGCTGTCAAACCCTCCGAATAGTATATCTGTTGGAGTGCACCACATGGGTCCTTCGTGCGCTGATGAAGGCTTATTGTTGGCCAAACACGATTGCAAACACATGCACCACATGGGTCCTTGGTGCGCTGATGAAGGCTTATTGTTGGCCAAACATGATTGCAAACACATGCACCACATGGCGTGTGCCATCATGCATGACATGGCAGGTATGTCAGCAGGCCTTCATAGGTACCTTTGTAGACCTTCATATGTAACAGGTGGTGCGTGCGTGCATGTACCATGCATGTGCATGTATCATGTGTGTGCATGCATCCTGTGCGTGCATGTACCATGTGTGTGCATGTACCATGTGTGTGCATGTATCATGTGTGTGCATGTATCATGTGTGTGCATGTATCATGTGTGTGTGCATGTATCATGTGTGTGCATGTACCATGTGTGTGCATGTACCATGTGTGTGCATGTATCATGTGTGTGCATGTATCATGTGTGTGCATGTATCATGTGTGTGCATGCACCATGTGTGTGCATGTACCATGTGTGTGCATGTATCATGTGTGTGCATGCACCCTGTGCGTGCAGGTACCATGTGGGTGCATGCACCTTGTGCGTGCATGTACCATTTGTGCAATTACCATGCATGTGCATGTATGTATCATGTGTGCATGTACCATGTGTGCATGCACCCTGTGCGTGCATGCACCCTGTGCGTGCATGTACCATGTGCGTGCATGTACCATGTGCGTGCATGTACCATGTGCGTGCAGGTACCATGTGGGTGCATGTACCATGTGTGCATGATATTTGCAAAGGTGCATCTTGATGGCCACCCCCCCTCCCCCTGTCTCCCCCTTCTCCCCCCTCTCGCCCCCTTCTCCCCCCTCTCTCCCCTTCTCCCCGCCGTCGTGCGGAGTGGAGAAGGAAGAAAAGTACCACCTGGAGACGGAGACGGGGATAATGAGGAGGCGACTTTTGAGTTGACTCAAAAGTCACCTTGGATAAGGAAGGAAAGTACCGCGTTAAAAAGGAGGCCGGGATAAGGATAGGAGGAAATGTTAGAAGGCCCCTCTTTCTTCCTTCCTTCCGCCCCCCCACCCATCCCTTCTCAGCAATACCAGCCATACCAGGCGACATCACCCCATCTTGCGAAGTGGATAAGGACGAGAAGCACCGCCTGGAAAAGGAGGCTCCGGGGAAGATGTGCGACGCTCTCCCCCTTTTCCCACTTCCCCCCTCGCCCTTCCCATTTCCCCCCTCGCCCTTCCCATTTCCCCCCTCGCCCTTCCCATTTCCCCCCTCGCCCTTCCCATTTCCCCCCTCGCCCTTCCCATTTCCCCCTCCCCCTTCCCATTTCCCCCTCGCCCTTCCCATTTCCCCCCTCGCCCTTCCCATTTCCCCCCTCGCCCTTCCCATTTCCCCCTCGCCCTTCCCATTTCCCCCCTCGCCCTTCCCATTTCCCCCCTTCTCCTCCCCCCCCCTTTCCAGCCAAAGCAGGCGACATCACCCCGTCGTGTGGAGTGGACAATGACGAGAATTACTGGTTGGAAAAGGAAGCCCTGGGAAAGATGCATTATTCTTATCCCTCTTTCCCCTTCTCCCCCCCCCTTTCTCCCATTTCTCCCATTTCTCCCCTTTCTCCCCTTTCTCCCCCCTCCCCCCCCCACTCCCCCCTCTCCCCCCTCTCCCACCCTCTCCCACCCTCTCCCCCCCTCTCCCCCCCCCTTCTCCCCCCTTCTGTCCAGCCATAGCGGGCGACATCACACCATCATGCGGAGTGGATAAGGACGAGAAGTACCGGTTGGAAAAGGAGGCCCTGGGAAAGATGTGTGATGCCTTGGGGCCGAACAACAGGGCAGCAGGTGAGGCTTGGGCAAGCATCAGCAGTTGAACAGGGGGGATTTTTTTTTTTTTTTTTTTTTTTTTTGCAGCGTTTGTCTCAAAAGCACCAGCTGGAAAAGGAGGCCCTGGGGAAGATGTGTGACGCTCTGGGGCCGAACCAGAGATAGGGCTCACTGTCACAGCAGGTGGAGATAGGAGCCCCATGTGGTGCCTCTGATTTAAAGCCGCCATGCAAGATTGAAAAAAACCCTGAACCCGTAGAGGTAGTTGGGTGTTGGCGAGTTTAACGAGGTGGTTTGGGAAGAACAAAGCACATGATTGGTTTGGAAAGAACGAAGCACATGATTGGTTTGGAAAGAACGAATCACATGATTGGTTTGGAAAGAACGAAGCACATGATTGGTTCGGAAAGAACGAAGCACATGATTGGTATGGAAAGGACGAAGCAGGTGATTGGTTCGGAAAGGACGAAGCACATGATTGGTTTGGAAAGAACGAAGCACATGATTGGTTGGGAATCTGGTGATTTCGCCACGCTGTAACTTGATTCTGGTCTTGCCAGTGGGTCCGAGGTGGATGTTGCGGGATAGCGGGGGGAGGCAGGGGGAGTTTTGTGGGCGGAAATGATTGAGCCCCGCGGCAGAATCGAAATCGCCGCTTGGGTGTATTCCAGCTCGAAAACACAGTGGCGAGAGTGGGGGAAGTGGGAAAGTGACGGGCGGGATGGGGGGCTGGGGGGGGGAAACGAAATGGGCTCGGGGGAAGGAAACAAGGCGAGGGGAATCAAACACACGGGGAGCAGAGTGACAACTTTCGAGGTTTGCAGTGCACGATTCTGCTTTAAGGTTTTTGCATGGCTTTTGGCGAGCTCTCACTTAGCCAGCACCGTCTCACCGGGTAACCTAGCCCTTCAACTCATAAACAATTGAACCTCGCTGGCTATATTTGCATGGTGGCTTTAAGTGGCAAGGGGGGCTTCTGGTGCTTATGTCTCATGTGGCAGCGGTTGGAGACAGGAGCAATTGCACACGTGGCATGGAACATAAGCACCAGGTGCCTCAGGTCTGGCTGATTAGCACCGGCTGGAGACTGAGGTTCTGTGGAGGATGTGTGACGCCCTGGGGCCCAACAACTGCCTCACATAGGCCCCCCTGTGACAGCTGTTGGAGACAGGATCAACAATTCAAGAGGCATGTCCCCCCTCTCTCCCCATGTCCCCCCTCTCTCCCCATGTCCCCCCTCTCTCCCCATGTCCCCCCTCTCTCCCCATGTCACTCTCTCTCCCCTCTCTCACTGACCCACTGCTCGCTGCCAGGCGAGATGCTGGCCCTGTGGGAGGAGTACGAGGTAAACAAGAGCAGCAAGGCCTGTCTGGTGAATGCTTCTCTTCCAATCCCCCTCTCTTTCTTCCTGTCTCCCCCACTCTTTCTTCCTGTCGCCCGCCTATCCATCTCCTCACCAGGCGAGATGCTGGCCCTCTGGGAGGAGTACAAGGCGAACGAGAGCAGCGCTGCCCGCCGGGTGAATGCTTTTCTCCCACTCCTCCCTCTCCGTCTCCCTGTCTCCAGCTTATCCATCTCCCCACCTCCCCATCTCCCCATCTCCCCATCTCCCCATCTCCCCATCTCCCCATCTCCCCATCTCCCCATCTCCCCATCTCCCCATCTCCCCATCTCCCCATCTCCCCATCTCCCCATCTCCCCATCTCCCCATCTCCCCATCTCCCCATCTCCCCATCTCCCCATCTCCCCATCTCCCCATCTCCCCATCTCCCCATCTCCCCATCTCCCCATCTCCCCATCTCCCCATCTCCCCATCTCCCCATCTCCCCATCTCCCCATCTCCCCATCTCCCCATCTCCCCATCTCCCCATCTCCCCATCTCCCCATCTCCCCATCTCCCCATCTCCCCATCTCCCCATCTCCCCATCTCCCCATCTCCCCATCTCCCCATCTCCCCATCTCCCCATCCCTCCCTCTCCGTCTCCCCATATCCGTCTCCCCATATCCGTCTCCCCATATCCGTCTCCCCATATCCGTCTCCCCATATCCGTCTCACCACCAGATGAGATGCTGGCCCTCTGGGAGGAGTACGAGGCGAATGAGAGCAGCGAGGCCCACGTGGTGCAAACTTTTCTCCCACTCCCCCCTATCCCTGTCTCCCCATCTCCTGCTTGTTTGTCTCCACACCAGGCGAGATGCTGGCCCTGTGGGAGGAGTACGAGGCGAATGAGAGCAGCGAGGCCCGCCTGGTAAATGCTCTCTTCTGGTGAATTCCAACCCAACCCAACCCAACCCAATCCCCCCTCTCCGTCTTCCTGTCTCCCGCCTATCCATCTCCTCACCAGGCGAGATGCTGGCTCTCTGGGAGGAGTACGAGGCGAATGAGAGCAGCGAGGCTCGTCTGGTGAAGGACTTTGATAAGGTTGATCACCCTACCCTTCCAATGGAACACCAGTTAGGTGCCATGTTGTCAATACGTGGCAGCAACTATGTAGTGACACCTGTGAAAGTTAGTTTCGTAGAGTGCTTGAGAGCAGCGAGGCTCGTCTGGTGAAGGACTTCGATAAGGTTGCTATGCTAACCCTGCCCATGCCCCCATGTCCGATGCCCATGCCCCCATGTCCGATGCCCATGCCCCCATGTCCGATGCCCATGCCCCCATGTCCGATGCGATGCCCATTGAGGCTCTGGCGCCGTGGCTGTGGCCTTCCATAACCCCTTTTTAGAAACCTTAAGAAAAACACGCTCGGAAAATCTTCAGAAAACCGTTGGCACTAATAGCTGGCTTGATGCTTGAGAGGACACGGTACACGTTCGACGGATTTTCTGTGCGCCTTTTTTTAATTAATTCTTCTTGAAGTTTTATGGTAAGCTCTTGAGCGCATTTGAGTAGTCTCCAGCCTTTCTCTACTAATCAGTTTCTTACACGATGTTTAATTCCTTCTTGCAATGTGTCCCATGCCATGTCCTCTCTTTCCTCCTCTCTTTCCTCCTCTCGCTCCTCTGCTCTTTCCTCCTCACTTCTCACTCCTCTCTCCCTTTTATTGCATCATCGCCCTTCCTGTGCTTGATTCCCTTTCTCTTTCCGTCTCTTCCCCAACCTCTTCTCCTTCCCCCCTTCTCAACCAACTCCCCTTCTCTCCCAACCATCACCTTCCTAATCCCACCAGCTGGTTAAGGCATTTGAGTCAGCATAAAAGTCAACACATCTTTAATTCTGCTGCCTCTCACTCCTCTCCAATCCTCCTCTCACAACTATCACCATCCTAACCCATCAGACGGAGATGATTCTGCTCATTCCTCACTCCCCTCCTCACTCCCCTCCTCACTCCCTTCTCTCTTTCCGTAGTCGTTCCCTGCATCTCTCCCCATGCTTCACCCTAAAAAATTTCCCTCCTCTTATAACTACCACCATCCTAACCCACCAGCTGGAGATGATACTGCAGAGTACGAGCAAGGTGAGCTAAGCAGAAACAAGAGGGGCTTATAACGAGTATGGCGTGTTCCTTTTGTCTCTCCCTCCTCAACTTCGCCCCCACCAGCTGGAAATGATTCTGCAAGCGCACGAGTATGAGCAAGGTGAGCTAAGCGAATACAGGAGGGTATTATATCGAGTATGGCATGCTGAACCTCCTTTTTCTCACACCAAATGCCTTCTCAACTCAACTGCACCAGCTGGAATGATTCTGCAAGCTCACGAGTATGAGCAAGGTGAGCTAAGTGTGACAAGAAGGGATTATAACGAGTATGAGCAAGGTGAGCCACGCATATACAGAAGGGGGTTATAACGAGTATCACATTCTCCGTCTACCTCTGCTGCTTCGTATCCGTGCGCCTTTAACCCCTCCTGGTTTTGATTCGCTTATAGTATCCATTTTCCAACCCTAACCCATCGTAAATATTCGGCCATGTGCTTCTGTTGTGTCGTGTTACTTAGCCCAACTGTAATCCCCTTCGTGAAAATATTATTTTGTGTGCTTCTGTTGTGTCGTGTTACTTAGCCCAACCATATTCCCCTTCCTGAAAATATTATTTCGTATGCTTCTGTTGTGTCGTGTTACTTAGCCAAAACATATTCCGCTTCGTGAAAATATTATTTCGTGTTTCTGCTGTGTCTTGTTACTTAGCCCAAGGAATGGAGCTTCAAGAATTCTTCGATTCAACAAAAGGTGCACTGACTCTTTTGCATAAGCGCTTATACTGCTACCATAAACTGGTTGTCTACCATCCATCGTATTGAGCTTTATCCACATCTCCCACATTTACCCTCTGGAGTTACGCCTTATTGTTGGCAGATCGATGGCAGACGGACGTGGGAAGGTTAGTGGCCGCTGATATTGTGGCCAGGCGGAGTAAAGGAGGGAGGTCTTGAGTTTGGTCAAACATAGTGCCAACCGAGTCATTCATTTGTTACAGGTCCATTTCATGTTTGGCATGATATAAGTCTCAGAGTAGCGAATTAAAGCGAGAGGTTATAATAGTGACCCATCTTTCTAGTTGGGCCCAACTTGATTGGGACCCTCGAACAGATATAGGGGGGACAAGCGAACGGGCAGAAGAAAACGTCGTTTCGGACGGGCAGTCACTCAGCAGCAAAAGAACCTGCCCGCGCGACAAATTTGAATATGTGGACGCGGGTGTGTTTATAGACATAATACTAGCTAGCACGCCTCGTTGGGGCTCGTTTGTTACCGTATTTTGTTGACCTCGATTGGTTGCGGTTCAGTCAAACTCAAAAGGTTGGACACGAAATGGGAAAAGTGTTGTTGGTGGGTGGTCGAAGTAAACAGTCCTTGATTTGTTAGCTCTGGGTGGGGAGAAATTTCGACCAATCAGAAATGCAGTTGTGTTCTTGCATGAGTAGGGAACCCAGGTTCAATTTGAAAACCAAGTTGGGCCCACTTGGAGAATGACGCGGCAATGGGGTCGCACAAAAACCAGCGACCTGTGACAGCTCGCAAACCCAGTCCTACAAATCTCCCAGCCAATCGTGTGCTCGCGCCTGCTCCCTCTGAACAGCTTGCCTGCGTTGTGGAACTGCCCTGGTTCTGCCGAGTGAGGCTAACAACCCCTTAGAAAAAATCGAGGGTCCCTTGGTTTCAAGTTGGACCCGCCTTCACTATTTTAGCCCCTCGCTTTAACTAGAACAAGCCAGTACAAGGTGTCAACTTATACATATATTGTTATGTATAAGTTATAGGCTAGATATGGTATGTTCTTAGTGGGTACAACCCAAATGCTATATCTCCTCTGTTCTCCCTATCAACTTATACATATTAGCTATGTAGAAGTTATAGGCTAGATTGGGGTATGCTTATAATGAGTACAACCAACCAGCATTTGTTCTAGGTTTCTCCTTCTAGTTCATTATTCAGTTCTTACTTTAAAATGGTATCACGCGTAGGTTAGAATCCCCGACCTACCGCTTCCGCCCGCACCCTAGCTAGGCCCCGCCGCATCCCCCCTGGGCCCCGTCGCGCCTCCTAGCCCCGTCGCGCCCCTTCTGGGCCCTGCCGCGCCTCCTAGCCCCGTCGCGCCCCTCCTGGGCCCCATCGTGCCTCCTAGGCCCCGTCGCGCCCTGCCTGGCCCCGTCGCGCCCGCCTAGCCCCGTCGTGCCCCTCCTGGGCCCCGTCGCGCCTCCTAGCCCCGTCGCGCCCCTCCTGGGCCCCACCGCGCCTCCTAGCCCCGTCGCGCCCCTCCTGGGCCCCGTCGTGCCTCCTAGGCCCCGTCGCGCCCGCTAGGCCCCGTCGCGCCCTGCCTGGCCCCGTCGCGCCCGCCTGGCCCCGTCGTGCTCCTCCTAGGCCCCGTCGCACCTCCTAGACCCGTCGCACCTCCTAGACCCGTCGCGCCCCTCCTGGGCCCCGTCGTGCCTCCTAGCCCCGTCGCGCCCCTCCTGGGCCCCGCCGCGCCTCCTAGCTCCGTCGCGCCCCTCCAGGGCCTCGTCGTGCCTCCAAGGCCCCGTCGCGCCCGCACCGGCCCCGTCGCGCCCTGCCTGGCCTCGTCGCACCCGCTAGGCCCCGTCGCGCCCTGCCTGGCCCCGTCGCGCCCGCCTGGCCCCGTCGCGCCTGCCTGGCCCCTCCGCACCTGCCTGGCCCCTCCGCACCTGCCTGGCCTTGCCGCGCCTGCCTGGCCCCTCCGCGCCTGCCTGGCCCTGCCGCGCCTGCCTGGCCCCGCCGCGCCTGCCTGGCCCCGCCGCGCCTGCCTGGCCCCTCCGCGCCTGCCTGGCCCCGCCGCAATTGCCTGGCCCCGCCGCGCCTGCCTGGCCCCGCCGCGCCTGCCTAGCCCCTCTGCGCCTCCCTGGCCCCGCCGCGCCTCCCTGGCCCCGCCGCGCCTGCTTGGCCCCGCCGCGTCTGCCTGGCCTCTCCCACTGCCCGCCCGGCCCCTCTTCGTGCCTGTTCGGCCTGCCGTGCCACCTCGAGCTCCGTCTCCTCTGCTTGCCAGCGCCAGGGCGCCTCGCGGCCGCCGTGCTGGAGAGTGCTGCCGCAGTGTCCCTGCGTCGCTGTGTCCCTGCGTCGCTGTGGAGCTGTGCCGCTGACCCTGCACGATGGCTGACTTCGTGCTCCGACTGGACGCCGAGGGCCATGCGGTTGACTTCGCCGCCTGGCTCTCCGATCTCCGCCGCCACCTTACAGGTCAGCGCCAGGATGGCCACTCTTTGGTTGTTCATGTCGATGGCTTGCTCCCCCGCCCCCCCGCACCTGCTCCCTTCCCTGCTGACCCCTCCTCTGATGACCGTGAGACCTTCTCTACTGCTGCGCTTGCCTGTGCGGTCTGGGACTCCCGCGATGCAGTCGCTCAGGTTGCTATTAGCCACGCCCTCCCTGTGTCTGGGCGCTCGCGTTTTGCTACTGTTGAGACGGCCAAAGCCTACTTAGACGCCGTTATTGCTCGCTATTCCACACCTGTGTCTGCTTCTGCTGGCCTCCTGCTCTTCCCGATGCTGTTCCCAGACCTTGCAGCCTTCCCTACCGTCGCAGACTTTGCCACTCACCTGCGTGCCGTAGAGACCCGCTATCGCACTGCCAGCACTGCTGCCCAGCTCACTGCGCTCCCCCCCCCTTTTTGCATGACGCTCTATTTTATCGCCATGCGCCTGCCAGACCGCCTCGCTAGTGCTCACGATCACTTCCTTAGCCACCACCTGGGTGACCTCACCCTCACCGCCTTTGTCGACACCCTCACCGAGATCGAGACTCGCCAGCGCACTATCGCTCAGTCGAGCGGTGTGCCGGCAGTCTCTATCTTTCACGGTTGTGCCCCCTCCCAGTGCACGTTCACTGACGTTTTGGCTGCGGTCGCCACGGCGACCCCTCTCACCGAGACGGCTGCTGCGGTCCACCCGCAGCAGCGCTCGCGCCGCGGTGGCCGTGGTCGCCAGGGAGGTAGGGGTGGTGGCGCAGGTGGTGGTGGTCGTGGTGGTGATGACGGTAGTCCGCCTGAGGGGACTACCACCGGTGGGCAGGAGCGGCAGCCCCAGCCGCAGCAGGAGCAGCCCTAGCAGCAGCCGCCGTCCCAGCAGCAGTCGCCGCAGCCGTGGGCCCGTCTCCCGCCTGGTTGGCCCCGCACCTCCGGAGGTAGTGGCCGTGGTGGCGGCCCGCGCAGCTCAGTGTCTATCGGCGGCTCCAGTGCTGTCACTTGCCAGTACCAGCTTCAGACCGGGCCTCTTCGCGGCACTCTGTGCCGCCGCCCGCACCCGACCGCCCGCTGTTTCCCCCGCCTTGACGATCTCTTTCGTCGTCGCTTTGGCCCGGGCCGGACCTCGCCGACTGGCACAGCCTGCTCCGCCAGGGCATGCCGATCTTTGAGTTAGACATGGATCAGATAGGTGTTGCTTTGCATGCCTTGTATTCTGACGCTTCTAGTGTTGCTGGGTCTTATTACTCTGTGTACTCTAGTTTAGGTGTTGCACCGTTGTGTAGCTTAGCCTCCCCTGCTGTGTCAGGCGTAGGACTGCCTAGTTTGCCTAGCCTAGTCTCTGCACCGGCTCCGTTCCCTGCCTCCGCCACAGCTTCGCTGTCCTGCACTCTCGACTCCGGTGCTTCTGCCTGCTTCTTCCGCGACCGTTCCGCGCTCACGCCGCTTGCTACGCCTGCTGTTGTCTCTCTCGCTCACCCCTCTGCGGGTCCTGTCGTCGCTCGCAGCTCTACGTCCCTTCCCTGTCCAGCAGTTCCCTCGGGCTCCCTTACAGGCCTCCACGTTCCCTCGTTCTCGAGGAACGTGGTTGGTGTCGGCTGTCTCCAGGACCTCGGCGTCACCACCACGTTCCCCGGGCACGAGCGGTTCGCTGTCTGTTCTGAGGCTGTGTCAGGTTCCCCCCTTGCGACGTTCCCCCGGGACCCGGTGTCCGGTCTGTTTACCCTCGACACCGCTTCCCCCCCGGTTGATGCGTCCTCCCAGGTCGCTGCAGCTTGCTCGTGTCGGTCCCTCACTCACCCGTCCCTTCTCTAGCACCACCGCCTAGGTCACCCTACACTCCCATGTCTGCGTCACATGTCCCAGCACGGTCTTGTCTTAGGTCTCCCTCCGTCCCTCCCTGCCCTTCCTCCCTCGACTGTGCCACCGTGCACGCCTTGCGTCGAGGGCCGGCTCCGCCGCTCTCCTCACTCCTCCTCGCTGCGCCCCGCTACTGCCCCCCTTCAGACCCTGCACCTGGACGTTTGGGGCCCTGCCCCCGTCTCCGGACTGCGAGGTGAGCGCTACTTCCTTGTGCTCGTCGACGACTACACGCGCTACACCACGGTGTTTCCCCTGGAGCGGAAGGCCGACGTGCCCGACGTTCTTCTCCCGTGGGTTGTGGCTGCGCGTCTTCACCGCGGTCTCCCCGTGTTGTGTCTCCACTATGACCGTGGCGGCGCGTTCGCCTCTAGTCGGCTTGGACAGTTCTGTCGTGCGGAGGGCATCACCCAGTCATACACCTTGCCGGACTCGCCACAGCAGAATGGGGTTGCTGAGCGCCGCATCGGCTTGGTCATGGAGGTCGCCCGTACCTCCATGATTCATGCCGATGCCCCCCATTTTCTGTGGCCATTCGCCGTTTTCTACGCTGCTCACCAGCTTAACTTGTGGCCACGCTCCCAGCGGCCGCAGGTTTTGCCGACCCTCCTTTGGACCGGGTCCCCAGGTGACGCGTCTGCATTCCACGTTTGGGGCTGCCTTGCTCACGTTCGTGCCTCTGGTACGGACAAGCTCATTGCCCGCACTGTCCCCTGTGTCTTCCTCGGTTTCCCCCTGGACTTGTCTGACTGGCTTTTCTACCACCCGCCGTCTCACCGTTTCCTCCACTCTCGTGACGTCACCTTTGACGAGTCTGTCTCCTTCTACCGCCGCTTCCCTCACCGCGGTCTCCCGTTTGCCCCGCCTCTGTTCCTTGCTCCCTCTCCCCCGGTAGCCCCTGCTCCTCTCCCGCCACGCACTGCCCCGTCTGGTGTCTCCCACATCACTCCCCTCCCGTTGGTTGTCCCCGTTGAGGAGTCCGCTGACTCTGGTGGTACCCCCGGCCCGTCCTTGCCGCGTCCCCCTTCCTCGGTGTCTTCGCCTCCACTGTCGCAGTCGCCGCCTCCGCCGCAGCCGCCGCCGTCGTATCCGCCGCTGCCGTCGCCGCTGCTGCCGCCGCCGCTGCCGTCGCCGCCACTCTTGGCCCCTGGGGGTGCTGGTGTGGAGGCGGGTGTTCGTCCTGCGGCTCCTGGGGGTGCCGCCGGTGTTGGAGGGGGTTCTCGCTCTGGGGGTGTTGGTTCTGGGGGTGCTGCAGTTGAGGG